AGACTCTCCTCTGGCACCACCGCCTTGGTCACCCCTCCCTGCTTCGTCTCCGAGGCATGGCCTCCCGTGTCCTTGTCTCTGGTCTTCCCCGGTCCCTCCCTCCCCTTCCTCCGGGGCCCGGCCCTACCTGCGTCCCTTGTGTCGAGGGGCGGCAGCGGGCTGCCCCTCACTCCTCCCAGTTTCCTCCGACAGAGGCCCCGCTGCAGACGCTTCACATGGACGTGTGGGGCCCGGCCCGCGTCCGTGGACAGGGTCACGAGCGCTACTTCCTGCTGGTGGTGGACGACTACTCGCGTTACACCACGGTCTTCCCCTTGCGCAGCAAGGGTGATGTCACTGAGGTGTTGATCGACTGGATCCGCGCAGCTCGTCTCCAGCTCAGGCAGAGCTTCGGCTCGGACTTTCCTGTTCTGCGTCTGCACTCTGACAGAGGTGGAGAGTTCTCCTCTGGCCTTCTGCGAGCCTACTGTCGTGCACGAGGCATCCGCCAGACCTTCACGCTTCCGGACTCTGCACAGCAAAATGGGATTGCTGAGCGCCGCATTGGCATGGTCATGGACGTCGCCCGTACGTCCATGATGCATGCGGCTGCCCCCCATTTTCTGTGGCCGTTTGCGGTTCGGTACGCGGCGCATCAGATCAACCTTCACCCCAGGGTCTCCATGCCGGAGACCTCCCCAGCTTTGCTGTGGACGGGGAAGGTTGGCGATGCGTCTGCGTTCCGTGTCTGGGGATCTCGGGCGTTTGTCCGCGACTTGTCTGCGGACAAGCTGTCCCCTCATGCTGCTCCTTGCGTCTTCCTTGGCTTCCCCCCTGACGCGCCAGGGTGGCAGTTCTACCACCCCACCTCTCGCCGTGTTCTGTCCTCCCAGGACGTCACGTTTGACGAGTCGGTCCCCTACTACCGCCTCTTCCCCTACCGCACTCCGTCCCTCCCCCCGCCACCGCTCTTCCTTGTGCCAGGTCCCCCCCCGGTAGACCCCCTCCCCCCTCAGGGTCCTGCCCCTTCAGGTGTGTCCCAGGTAGACGCAGTCGAGCCTGTCGAGGTTACTGGTGACTCTGGTGCTGCTGAGGGTGCTGAGCCTGGGGGTGCTGACTCTGGGGGTGCTGAGCGTGTGGGTGCTACGCCTGGGGGTGCTGAGCCTGAGGGTGCTACTACTGGGGGTGCTGAGCCTGGGGGTGCTGAGCCTGGGGGTGCTGAGCCTGGGGGTGCTACGCCTGGGGGTGCTGAGCCTGGGGGTGCTACGCCTGGAGGTGCTGAGCCTGGGGGTGCGGAGCCTGAGGGAGCTGGGCCTGCTCGTGTGGCGTCTGGAGGTGCTGAGCCTGGAGGTTCTCCGGGTGCTTCGTCTCGGCGGGAGCCACTCTCTCCACAGGAGCTGCGAGAGTGGTTTGCCCGACGCTGGCGGCGTGCTACTGGAGCTGGAGGTTCTTCGACTGCTGCGGGTGCTGGTGCCGCGGGTCCCGGAGGTGCTCGTACTGGGAGTACTGGAGCTGCTGGGCCTGCGGGTACGCCTGGAGCTGGAGCTGCTGAGGGTGTTGGCGCTGAGGCTACTGCTGTCGGTCCTGGAGGCGGTCCTACTGGGGGTGCTACTGGTGCTGCTGGAGGTACTGGAGCTGGAGGTGCTGCTGGCGCTGGTGCTGCCGCTGGGGGTGCTGGTGCTGTCCCTGCTGTGTCTGGAGTCGCCGCGCGGCCTCGGCCGTACTTCGTTCCGCTCCTTCAGCAGGTTCTTGGTCTCCCGCCTTCTACTGGTCCTCCTCCTCCCTTAGAGTGTCCACAGCCTGTCCCGTCCCAGTTACAGTTACAGCCGGCCTTCAGACTGCCCGCTCCTTCTCCCTACACTGGTCCTACTGGAGGTCTGGCTGAGCGTCGTGAGCCTGCGTCTCGCCCTGCGTCGCCTGTCCGTCTTGCTAGCACTAGTGGCCGTGGTTCGCGTCAGCGTCCTCCTCCTGTCCCTGGCACGCACCGGATGTCTCTGCGTCCGTCCACTGCTCCTCTGCGTGCCCCTTTGCCTTCTCCTCCTGAGTCCTCTCTTCCTGCTCTTCCCGACCCGGAGTCGGACTCTCTTCGTGCTGCCAGTCCTACTGTCACGCGTCTCCTTGCTACTGTCGTCACTGACCCTTCCTTTGAGTCCACTGCTGCGTCTGCCCTAGTTGCTGAGCTCGTCGACTTTGCTGCTCGCTGTCGTCTAGACTACGCTGCTAGTCTTGTCGTTGCGTCTGAGTCTGTCTGTCCTCCGTCCGTCGGGGGTGAGTGTGCCCTTGGCACGGACGTCCTTGAGGACAGGCAGGAGGAGTTCCAGTGTTTGGCTGCTGCTTCACCTCATCTCGTGTCCGTACTGCTTACCCCTGAGGGAGACCCGGATGCACTTGACATCCCGACTCCGCGCTCTTACGCGGAGGCGATAGAGGGTCCCTACTCCTCTCAGTGGCAGGCAGCTATGGACACAGAGATGGCTTCCTGGAAGTCCACAGGCACCTACGTTGACGAGGTTCCCCCGCCTGGGGCGAACATCGTCAGTGGCATGTGGATTTTCAGGGTGAAGCGACCGCCGGGTTCTCCGCCTGTCTTCAAGGCACGTTACGTGGCTCGTGGCTTCAGTCAGCGGCAGGGAATTGACTACTTTCAGACCTTCTCTCCCACCCCGAAGATGACCACTCTTCGGGTACTGCTGCACATAGCTGCTCACCGCGACTACGAGCTGCACTCTCTTGACTTCAGCACTGCTTTCTTGCAGGGCAGCCTGCACGAGGAGATCTGGCTGCGTCGCCCACCTGGCTTCACTGGGTCTTTTCCTCCTGGCACCCAGTGGAGCCTCCGGCGGCCAGTCTACGGTCTCCGCCAGGCACCGCGTGAGTGGCACGACACACTGAGGACTACACTTGCGGCTCTTGGGTTTGCTCCCTCTACTGCCGACCCGTCGCTGTTTCTGCGCACCGACACTTCTTTGCCGCCGTTCTACATCCTCGTGTACGTCGACGACTTGGTCTTTGCCACAGCTGACACTGCTGGACTCGCCCACGTGAAGTCCGAGCTGCAGAAGAGACACACTTCCACAGACCTGGGTGAACTGCGCAGCTACCTTGGCTTGCAGATCACCCGGGACAGAGCACGCCGCACCATTACCCTGACTCAGTCACACATGGTGCAGCAGGTCCTTCAGCGCTTCGGCTTCACGTACTCCTCGCCTCAGGCCACTCCTCTGCCTACTCGCCACTCGCTCTCAGCTCTGCCTTCGGATGAGTCCGTAGAGTCGAGTGGCCCGTACCCAGAGCTTGTTGGCTGCCTCATGTACCTGATGACCTGCACACGACCTGACCTCGCATACCCTCTAAGCATTCTCGCACGCTATGTTGCTCCTGGGAGACACAGACCGGAGCACATGGCTGCAGCGAAGAGGGTGTTGCGTTACTTGTGCAGTACGTCGGGCATGGGGCTTGTGCTTGGAGGGCAGAGTCCAGTGGTCCTCACTGGGCACGCAGACGCTTCTTGGGCTGACGACCAGGCTACGCAGCGGTCGTCACAGGGTTACACCTTCAGCCTTGGTTCCGGCTCTGTTTCGTGGCGGGCTACCCGCTCGTCTTCTGTTCTCGGCTCCAGTTGTGAGGCTGAGATCTACGCCGGGGCCATGGCTGCACAGGAGCTTCGCTGGCTCACCTACCTGCTGACTGACCTCGGAGAGCCGCCTCGTTCTCCTCCAGTGCTGTACGTAGACAACAAGGCCATGCTGGCCTTGTGTCGAGAGCAGAGACTGGAGCACAGAACGAAGCACATTGCTCTCCGCTACTTCCTTGCTCGTGAGCTACAGCAGCGTGGTCAGCTGCGGCTTGCGTACGTGGCCTCTCAGGCCAACACTGCTGATATCTTCACCAAGGCACTTGCGCCTTGTGATCATCAGCGCTTCTGTACTCAGCTGGGTCTTGTGCCTACCTTGACTCACTTGCTCACCCCTTGACCTTGTTTGTACTGTTGCATATATATATACACCTGCTCTTGCTTGTCTAGCCTTATATATATATGTAATCCTGCATGTGAACTGGCCTTGTGGCCTTGAACTTGTGCTCGGAATGTGTGGTGACTTTGTGATCCACCCTGAGCTTGCTTTGCTTTGCTTGACTGGTCTTGTGACCCCTTGTTCTCCCCCACTTTGCCTATGGGGGTGTGTCAGATTTATATGACATAGCTACTGTAGGCTATAGTGGGGTAGCACATATGGGGTATAGTTTTCTAGGGTTCACATTTGTACCCAACTTTCCCTTAGTCATTCATTCTCGTTTCTATTATCACACTTTTCTCGATTGATAGCATGCACATGTTTGCTTAGTGTTTGATTATCCTTCCTTAATATTCGCTGCCTGCAGATGTTCAAACCTTGACTCTAATGTACAAAATGCTTGTGGTACTCATTCGTACATGAAATGTACGGCTTGCTGCCATAATGTCCTCCCTATTATCTGCCTGAAGAGGTTCAGCACTTGAATTTAATGCCCAAAATGTTTGTTTGTCATTCGTCTAATGTTTGTGTCTTGTCCACCTTTGCATACGGTAGTTTGAACACCAGTAGCTGAAGTCAGCATGGATTATAGTACGGTGAGGTGACTGCCTTCAAAGAGCCTAAGCAAGGGTGTTGAAGTTCTGAACGCCTGCCTCTGCCATCATTGCTTCTAGGTACCTCTAAGAACGTCATACGAGATTGCTTGTAGGTACCTCCAATCAGGCCCCTAGATTGGTTTTGGGGTAGGCTGGAAAATCTGAGTTTACTAGCAATTTTACGCTGAAATTGAGGCTATTTTAGTTACTTCATAACGGCATAAGGTTGAAATGAATAACTATCAGTTGTTTATGCGGCTGCAGTTGCTCCTGCTGCCCCTGCTCCTGCTGCTTCTGTTTGCTGCTAACAGCGGAGGAGGCTGCTGCTGCCCCCCGCACCCCCTCGTCCGCCTCCACTGCAACACTCACTGGCATGCCGTGTGCTTCTCGCAGATCCTGACATGCAGTGAACATGCTTGACGATGGGTTGAGAGCGGTGAGAGCAGAGGAGGAGGGGGTGGAGAGAGCGGGAAGGGAGGAGAGGATGGAGGAGAGAGGGGTGGAGTGGGGGACCTGGGATGTGGGGGATTGGAGGGAGGACCAGCGGAGGAAGTGGGAGGAGAGGACAGGGCCGGAGGGTGAGGGAGGAAAAGACGGGGTCAAGGAGAGATGGAGCGATGCACGAGAGGGAGGGAGTGAATGCAGAGTAGATGCGCCCTTATTGCCTGCAAGCAGGTCACACATAAAGGGGAGAGCAAGGGGTGGAGAGCGCGGGGGAGGAAGGTGGGAGAAGGATCATGCAGAGAATGTGAGTACGAGGGGAGGGAATGAGAGCGGTGAGGATGAGAGAGTGGCGGGGATGCGAATGCAGTGGGGATAAGAGTGCAGTGGGGATGAGAATACAGTGGGGATAAGAGTGCAGTGGGGATGAGAATGCAGTGGGGATAGAGTGCAGTGGGGATGAGAATGCAGTGAGGATGAGAATGCAGTGGGGATAAGAGTGCAGTGGGGATGAGAATGCAATGGGGATGAGAGTACAGTGGGGATGAGAACGCAGTGGGGATAAGAGTGCAGTGGGGATGAGAATGCAGTGGGGATGAGAATGCAGTGGGGATAAGAGTGCAGTGGGGATTAGAATGCAGTGGGGATGAGAGTGCAGTGGGGATGAGAATGCGGTGGGGATGAGAATGCAATGGGGATAAGAGTGCAGTCATGGGGATGAGAATGCAGTGGGGATAAAGAGTGCAGTGCGGATGAGAATGCAGTGGGGATAAGAGTGCAGTGGGGATGAGAATGTGGTGGGGAGGAAAACGTGGTGGGGAGGAGAATGTGGTGGGGAGAATGTGGAGCGGAGGAGATGTGGTGGGAGGAGAATGTGGTGGGAGGAGAATGTGGTGGGGAGGAGAATGTGGTGGGGAGGAGAATGTGGTGGGGAGGAGAATGTGGTGGGGAGGAGAATGCAGTGGGGATAAGAGTGCAGTGGGGATGAGAATGCAGTGGGGATAAGAGTGCAGTGGGGATGAGAATGCAGTGGGGATAGAGTGCAGTGGGGATGAGAATGCAGTGAGGATGAGAATGCAGTGGGGATAAGAGTGCAGTGGGGATGAGAATGCAGTGGGGATGAGAGTACAGTGGGGATGAGAATGCAGTGGGGATGAGAATGCGGTGGGGATGAGAATGCAATGGGGATAAGAGTGCAGTCATGGGGATGAGAATGCAGTGGGGATAAGAGTGCAGTGGGGATGAGAATGCAGTGGGGATAAAGAGTGCAGTGCGGATGAGAATGCAGTTGGGATAAGAGTGCAGTGGGGATGAGAATGTGGTGGGGAGAAAAACGTGGTGGGGAGGAGAATGTGGTGGGGAGAATGTGGAGCGGAGGAGATGTGGTGGGGAGGAGAATGTGGTGGGGAGGAGAATGTGGTGGGGAGGAGAATGTGGTGGGGAGGAGAATGTGGTGGGGAGGAGAATGTGGTGGGGAGGAGAATGTGGTGGGGAGGAGAATGTGGTGGGGAGGAGAATGTGGTGGGGAGGAGAATGTGGTGGGGAGGAGAATGTGGTGGGGAGGAGAATGTGGTGGGGAGGAGAATGTGGTGGGGAGGAGAATGTGGTGGGGAGGAGAATGTGGTGGGGAGGAGAATGTGGTGGGGAGGAGAATGTGGTGGGGAGGAGAATGTGGTGGGGAGGAGAATGTGGTGGGGAGGAGAATGTGGTGGGGAGGAGAATGTGGTGGGGAGGAGAATGTGGTGGGGAGGAGAATGTGGTGGGGAGGAGAATGTGGTGGGGAGGAGAATGTGGTGGGGAGGAGAATGTGGTGGGGAGGAGAATGTGGTGGGGAGGAGAATGTGGTGGGGAGGAGAATGTGGTGGGGAGGAGAATGTGGTGGGGAGGAGAATGTGGTGGGGAGGAGAATGTGGTGGGGAGGAGAATGTGGTGGGGAGGAGAATGTGGTGGGGAGGAGAATGTGGTGGGGAGGAGAATGTGGTGGGGAGGAGAATGTGGTGGGGAGGAGAATGTGGTGGGGAGGAGAATGTGGTGGGGAGGAGAATGTGGTGGGGAGGAGAATGTGGTGGGGAGGAGAATGTGGTGGGGAGGAGAATGTGGTGGGGAGGAGAATGTGGTGGGGAGGAGAATGTGGTGGGGAGGAGAATGTGGTGGGGAGGAGAATGTGGTGGGGAGGAGAATGTGGTGGGGAGGAGAATGTGGTGGGGAGGAGAATGTGGTGGGGAGGAGAATGTGGTGGGGAGGAGAATGTGGTGGGGAGGAGAATGTGGTGGGGAGGAGAATGTGGTGGGGAGGAGAATGTGGTGGGGAGGAGAATGTGGTGGGGAGGAGAATGTGGTGGGGAGGAGAATGTGGTGGGGAGGAGAATGTGGTGGGGAGGAGAATGTGGTGGGGAGGAGAATGTGGTGGGGAGGAGAATGTGGTGGGGAGGAGAATGTGGTGGGGAGGAGAATGTGGTGGGGAGGAGAATGTGGTGGGGAGGAGAATGTGGTGGGGAGGAGAATGTGGTGGGGAGGAGAATGTGGTGGGGAGGAGAATGTGGTGGGGAGGAGAATGTGGTGGGGAGGAGAATGTGGTGGGGAGGAGAATGTGGTGGGGAGGAGAATGTGGTGGGGAGGAGAATGTGGTGGGGAGGAGAATGTGGTGGGGAGGAGAATGTGGTGGGGAGGAGAATGTGGTGGGGAGGAGAATGTGGTGGGGAGGAGAATGTGGTGGGGAGGAGAATGTGGTGGGGAGGAGAATGTGGTGGGGAGGAGAATGTGGTGGGGAGGAGAATGTGGTGGGGAGGAGAATGTGGTGGGGAGGAGAATGTGGTGGGGAGGAGAATGTGGTGGGGAGGAGAATGTGGTGGGGAGGAGAATGTGGTGGGGAGGAGAATGTGGTGGGGAGGAGAATGTGGTGGGGAGGAGAATGTGGTGGGGAGGAGAATGTGGTGGGGAGGAGAATGTGGTGGGGAGGAGAATGTGGTGGGGAGGAGAATGTGGTGGGGAGGAGAATGTGGTGGGGAGGAGAATGTGGTGGGGAGGAGAATGTGGTGGGGAGGAGAATGTGGTGGGGAGGAGAATGTGGTGGGGAGGAGAATGTGGTGGGGAGGAGAATGTGGTGGGGAGGAGAATGTGGTGGGGAGGAGAATGTGGTGGGGAGGAGAATGTGGTGGGGAGGAGAATGTGGTGGGGAGGAGAATGTGGTGGGGAGGAGAATGTGGTGGGGAGGAGAATGTGGTGGGGAGGAGAATGTGGTGGGGAGGAGAATGTGGTGGGGAGGAGAATGTGGTGGGGAGGAGAATGTGGTGGGGAGGAGAATGTGGTGGGGAGGAGAATGTGGTGGGGAGGAGAATGTGGTGGGGAGGAGAATGTGGTGGGGAGGAGAATGTGGTGGGGAGGAGAATGTGGTGGGGAGGAGAATGTGGTGGGGAGGAGAATGTGGTGGGGAGGAGAATGTGGTGGGGAGGAGAATGTGGTGGGGAGGAGAATGTGGTGGGGAGGAGAATGTGGTGGGGAGGAGAATGTGGTGGGGAGGAGAATGTGGTGGGGAGGAGAATGTGGTGGGGAGGAGAATGTGGTGGGGAGGAGAATGTGGTGGGGAGGAGAATGTGGTGGGGAGGAGAATGTGGTGGGGAGGAGAATGTGGTGGGGAGGAGAATGTGGTGGGGAGGAGAATGTGGTGGGGAGGAGAATGTGGTGGGGAGGAGAATGTGGTGGGGAGGAGAATGTGGTGGGGAGGAGAATGTGGTGGGGAGGAGAATGTGGTGGGGAGGAGAATGTGGTGGGGAGGAGAATGTGGTGGGGAGGAGAATGTGGTGGGGAGGAGAATGTGGTGGGGAGGAGAATGTGGTGGGGAGGAGAATGTGGTGGGGAGGAGAATGTGGTGGGGAGGAGAATGTGGTGGGGAGGAGAATGTGGTGGGGAGGAGAATGTGGTGGGGAGGAGAATGTGGTGGGGAGGAGAATGTGGTGGGGAGGAGAATGTGGTGGGGAGGAGAATGTGGTGGGGAGGAGAATGTGGTGGGGAGGAGAATGTGGTGGGGAGGAGAATGTGGTGGGGAGGAGAATGTGGTGGGGAGGAGAATGTGGTGGGGAGGAGAATGTGGTGGGGAGGAGAATGTGGTGGGGAGGAGAATGTGGTGGGGAGGAGAATGTGGTGGGGAGGAGAATGTGGTGGGGAGGAGAATGTGGTGGGGAGGAGAATGTGGTGGGGAGGAGAATGTGGTGGGGAGGAGAATGTGGTGGGGAGGAGAATGTGGTGGGGAGGAGAATGTGGTGGGGAGGAGAATGTGGTGGGGAGGAGAATGTGGTGGGGAGGAGAATGTGGTGGGGAGGAGAATGTGGTGGGGAGGAGAATGTGGTGGGGAGGAGAATGTGGTGGGGAGGAGAATGTGGTGGGGAGGAGAATGTGGTGGGGAGGAGAATGTGGTGGGGAGGAGAATGTGGTGGGGAGGAGAATGTGGTGGGGAGGAGAATGTGGTGGGGAGGAGAATGTGGTGGGGAGGAGAATGTGGTGGGGAGGAGAATGTGGTGGGGAGGAGAATGTGGTGGGGAGGAGAATGTGGTGGGGAGGAGAATGTGGTGGGGAGGAGAATGTGGTGGGGAGGAGAATGTGGTGGGGAGGAGAATGTGGTGGGGAGGAGAATGTGGTGGGGAGGAGAATGTGGTGGGGAGGAGAATGTGGTGGGGAGGAGAATGTGGTGGGGAGGAGAATGTGGTGGGGAGGAGAATGTGGTGGGGAGGAGAATGTGGTGGGGAGGAGAATGTGGTGGGGAGGAGAATGTGGTGGGGAGGAGAATGTGGTGGGGAGGAGAATGTGGTGGGGAGGAGAATGTGGTGGGGAGGAGAATGTGGTGGGGAGGAGAATGTGGTGGGGAGGAGAATGTGGTGGGGAGGAGAATGTGGTGGGGAGGAGAATGTGGTGGGGAGGAGAATGTGGTGGGGAGGAGAATGTGGTGGGGAGGAGAATGTGGTGGGGAGGAGAATGTGGTGGGGAGGAGAATGTGGTGGGGAGGAGAATGTGGTGGGGAGGAGAATGTGGTGGGGAGGAGAATGTGGTGGGGAGGAGAATGTGGTGGGGAGGAGAATGTGGTGGGGAGGAGAATGTGGTGGGGAGGAGAATGTGGTGGGGAGGAGAATGTGGTGGGGAGGAGAATGTGGTGGGGAGGAGAATGTGGTGGGGAGGAGAATGTGGTGGGGAGGAGAATGTGGTGGGGAGGAGAATGTGGTGGGGAGGAGAATGTGGTGGGGAGGAGAATGTGGTGGGGAGGAGAATGTGGTGGGGAGGAGAATGTGGTGGGGAGGAGAATGTGGTGGGGAGGAGAATGTGGTGGGGAGGAGAATGTGGTGGGGAGGAGAATGTGGTGGGGAGGAGAATGTGGTGGGGAGGAGAATGTGGTGGGGAGGAGAATGTGGTGGGGAGGAGAATGTGGTGGGGAGGAGAATGTGGTGGGGAGGAGAATGTGGTGGGGAGGAGAATGTGGTGGGGAGGAGAATGTGGTGGGGAGGAGAATGTGGTGGGGAGGAGAATGTGGTGGGGAGGAGAATGTGGTGGGGAGGAGAATGTGGTGGGGAGGAGAATGTGGTGGGGAGGAGAATGTGGTGGGGAGGAGAATGTGGTGGGAGGAGAATGTGGTGGGGAGGAGAATGTGGTGGGGAGGAGAATGTGGTGGGGAGGAGAATGTGGTGGGGAGGAGAATGTGGTGGGGAGGAGAATGTGGTGGGGAGGAGAATGTGGTGGGGAGGAGAATGTGGTGGGGAGGAGAATGTGGTGGGGAGGAGAATGTGGTGGGGAAATGCGACATGCCCACCTGCACGCCCTCTGCTTTTTAAAGAAGGTGCTACTGCTGCTGCTGCTGCTGCTGCTGCTGTCGTCTCTCCTCCCAGGGCCTGGTGCGGTTGCTGGTTTTCGTAACTGTCGCTGCTGCTGCCACCGCTGCTCTTATGCTGGCACCTGCTGTCACAAGCACAAGGCGATGGAGGTTGCTTTAAGCGAACATAATACTACAGAGCTCGCATAGCCGATGCTCCTGTTGCGGCCACTTTGTCTCTCTCGTTCGCCGCCTCACCGTGAGTGACTCACATGCCTAATTCGTCCGCCTGCCTCACTGAGATTGGGCCGTGTTCTTCGACAGCTGTGGCTACCGTAGCAAAGAGGGCCTACCACCCACTGCCACCGCGGTTCAAACCATGGGCGGATTGAAAGCCGACTTGGTTGGACACACTCGAAAGCTAGGTGAGGGTGTTCGGGGAGCTGCCGGGGAGTGAAAGCACCAGTTGCAGTGGGTTGTGGGGCCCCAAAAAGTCGTTTCGGCCTGGCAACAGCCTAATAAAGGTGCCCTGGGCTTTAAATAGTGGTCTGCCACTGTTGCAAATGGTAAAATGCCCTGGCGGTGCTCCTAGGTGCTCTCTGGCAGATTCTGGCCAGGGTGTGCGGGGAGCTGCCGGGGGGCAAGAGGGGCAGTTGCAGTGGGATGTGAGGGCCCCAGAAGTCGATTTTGGGTGGGACTAGCCTGGCAAAGGTGCCCATGGCTTCAGAAATTGATTTGCACAGATTTTGAGAGCCAAAATGCCCTTGCGGTGCTCCTAGGTGCTCTCTGGCAGTTTCTGGCCAGGGTGTGCGGGGAGCTGCCGGGGAGTGATAGCACCAGTTGCAGTGGGTTGTGGGGTCCCAAAAGGTCGTTTAGGCCTGGCAACAGCCTAATAAAGGTGCCCATGGATTTAAAAATTGATTTGCAAAGGGTTTGAGAGCCAAAATGCCCTGGCGGTGCTCCTATGTGCTCTCTGGCAGATTCTGGCCAGGGTGTGCGGGGAGCTGCCGGGGAGTGAAAGCACCAGTTGCAGTGGGTTGTGAGGGCCCCAGAAGTCGATTTTTGGTGGGACTAGCCTGGAAAAGGTGCCCATGGATTTAAAAATTGATTTGCAAAGGGTTTGAGAGCCAAAATGGCCTGGCGGTGCTCCTAGGTGCTCTCTGGCAGATTCTGGCCAGGGTGTGCGGGGAGCTGCCGGGGAGTGAAAGCACCAGTTGCAGTGGGATGTGAGGGCCCCAGAAGTCAATTTTGAGTGGGACTAGCCTGGCAAAGGTGCCCATGGATTTAAAAATTGATTCGCAAAGGGTTTGAGAGCCAAAATGCCCTGGCGGTGCTCCTAGGTGCTCTCTGGCAGATTCTGGCCAGGGTGTGCGGGGAGCTGCCGGGGAGTGAAAGGCGCAGTTGCAGTGGGTTGTGAGGGCCCCAGAAGTCGATTTTGGGTGGGACTAGCCTGGCAAAGGTGCCCATGGCTTAAAAAATTGATTTGCAGAGGGTTTGAGAGCCAAAATGGCCAAGTGGTGCTCCTAGGTGCTCTCTGGCAGTTTCTGGCCAGGGTGTTCGGGGAGCTGCCGGGGAGTGAAAGCACCAGTTGCAGTGGGTTGTGAGGGCCCCAGAAGTCGATTTTGGGTGGGACTAGCCTGGCAAAGGTGCCCATGGCTTAAAAAAATGATTTCAGAGGGTTTGAGAGCCAAAATGGCCTGGCGGTGCTCCTAGGTGCTCTCTGGCAGTTTCTGGCCAGGGTGTTCGGGGAGCTGCCGGGGAGTGAAAGCACCAGTTGCAGTGGGTTGTGGGGCCCCAAAAAGTCGTTTTTGCCTGGCAACAGCCTAATAAAGGTGCCCTGGGCTTTAAATAGTGCTCTGCCACAGTTGCAGATGGTGAAATGCCCTGGCGGTGCTCCTAGGTGCTCTCTGGCAGATTCTGGCCAGGGTGTGCGGGGAGCTGCCGGGGGCAAAAGGGGCAGTTGCAGTGGGATGTGAGGGCCCCAGAAGTCGATTTTGGGTGGGACTAGCCTGGCAAAGGTGCCCATGGATTTAAAAATTGATTTGCAAAGGGTTTGAGAGCCAAAAAGCCCTGGCGGTGCTCCTAGGTGCTCTGGCAGTTTCTGGCCAGGGTGTGCGGGGAGCTGCCGGGGGGCAAAAGGGGCAGTTGCAGTGGGTTGTGAGGGCCCCAGAACTCGATTTTGGGCGGGACTAGCCTGATAAAGGTGCTCATGGCTTATCGTTGTGAACTATTGCTCTGCCTGCTTGTTGTGCTGATTATACCCCACTTTGACTATGGGGGTGTGTCAGAATGTGATATTTGTCTAGCCTGCAGTGGGGTACTCTATAGCGAGTATAGCCCAAATTAGGGTTTGCTATATGTACTCAACTGCCTGCTAGTGCAAACCCCTCTTTCCTGTTTCTAGTTTCTGCCTACTGTTTCTGACACGTCAAACGTACCAAACACATTGCGCTGCGGTACTTCTTCGTCAAGGACGAAGTGGACAAGGGGAAGTTGGACTTGACCTACTGCCCGACAGGTGATATGGCAGCTAATTTTCTGACGAAACGACTACCACGTCAGTAATACTAGCACTGCTTTGAACTCAACGGAGTGGTCAAGGGGGTTAAGTCGAGCCACGGTCACGAATGAAGGGGGTGTTACCAATAATAAATTAAGAAAGACACTGTGCACTCCTGACAGCAGCAACCGAAGCACACAATATCGGAGCTGGAAGAACGAAGAGGCGAAAATGACCTGGTGTCCGAGAGGCACCCTCTGTCCCACGTTTTGATCAGGTTCTGCTTGCTGAACCCGCGTTCACATTCCACCGTGCTTAACGGCAGAACGGCGACGGCCTGCCACATCTTCATGATGTTGGGGAATGACTGCTGCCAGCCGTCGTCACGCATCATGTTCGAAAGCGCCTGGTGGAAATCCTCCCCGTTGTGCTGGCTGAACAGTGTGGATGTGAACATCCACAGTTCGTTGCTCGCCTTCTTGAAGTCGAAGCCTGGTGTACGGGATGGGGGTCAAATAGGGCTAAAGTAGCATACACCGGGTGGAATGGGGCGTATTAGACCAACAGAAGACGAAGACAAGCCACGGATGGTGCACCAAATTCAAACAACATGCATGATCACAACGGACAGATAATCAACGCTTCACCACACACCTGGCAGCTTCTCGTGATAGAGTTTGTGCAGTTTGCCCAGCCAGCGCTTGAACGCCTCAACGCGCTTCGCGTCGTCCGTAAGGTAAGAGACGGTGTGGAACAGCTTCGAACCCTCCCGGTTGGCGAGATCACGCATCCGCCACTCCAGTTCCTTGTCAATCGCGCGGACAAATTTTAACGATAGCTCATAGCAGGTTGTCACGTCGCCATCGGTTTCCTGCCCTTTCAATGGCCGCTCGTGCAGAACGAATTTGAACGACACCGGATTTCCCTCGCAGTCAACGCCTTCAACTTCCATCTCGAGCTTGTCCTGCTTCTGGTGCTTCAAGAAGAAATCGGGAAGAGTCATGTACTCCCCGCTTCCAAAGGTGTGACCAGGTGCCCCGATCAGGTACCGCGCCTTCAGCCGCATGCGCGTCTGCTCCACGATGTGCGCCACAAGCGTGACGTCGATCTGCATCAACCACAAGGAAGCGACGGTGGGGTGTAAGGGGCAGAGCACTTGTTCATTTGTCTTGTCACTATAGTTAAGCTCAAGTACTGACCTGTCTTTGCTGGAACCGCTGGTTCAAGTGGTTCAGCTCCCACAGGATGTCAGCAAGAAAGCGTAGTAGCCAATGAAACTTGAACGAGGTCACAACCTCGTACAAGTCGGGCTTGTAGTCCTTGAGCACGACGATGGCGGCTCGCAAGACCTCGAGGAGCCGGGCAACGGCCTCGCCACGCGACAGCCACCGGACGGTGTGTATTCCCTACGCCTCAAGATTTTCTTGCAGTACACTCGTTGCAGGTTTTGAAACTTCTGGTACTGCACGCCGCTCCTCCCTATAAGCTCATAAAACGCACGGACGACATCGTCTATCATGTTCAGCTCAGGGACAGCTTTAGCGGCATCTTTCGCAGCAAGTGCCTCCCTGCATGCTCAAAACAAGATACATGAGTTCATATCCTCTGAACTTGAAACACCGAGCATAGACATCATAGTTACCGATGTGTGATGCAGTGTGTTGACGCCAGGTGAGGTATACGCATTCTGAGTCGCGCCACCACTCCATTGTTCTTCCCCACCATTACGCTCGCTCCGTCGGTCGCGATGCCTGTTATTTTCTGCAAGTCCACACCAATACCGGTCAGGTACTGCACAACAGCGGAGGACAAAGAAGCAGCGTCAGCGCGATCCACGGTTATCAAGGTGAGGAACTCGTTGACGACGGCCCTGTTCTTGAGGTACGTGACGTAAATGATGAGGTGTTTGCCGTGGATGCGGTCAGTGCTTTCGTCGAGCGAGAGGGACATCCACGGCGATTCCAGAAGGTGAAGCCGCTGCGTCTCCTGTAGGTACGCGGATGTCGCACGAAGGGATTCCTTGAAACCGTAACTGCAACACATACAACACACAATTTAGATTAAAAACTCCCACTAACAGTCATTCGAAAAGCACAACAAACAACGGACAATTAACGTACTCAGTGTAGTATGCACCGTAGCCACCATTGGGGGGAAGATCTGGAAGTCCCTCCTTAGCAAGAAACCTGCACAGGGGGACGAACATCGCGATGGGTGCGTCAGCCTTGCAGACGAACATCGCGATATGCAGGCAGCGGATGATGTGGCGAGTTGACGCATCCGTCTCCTGCCACCTTGTCAAAGTCACTTGCTTCTCCTTTGCTGCAAGTGACCGAGCCTCGCCCTCCAGCGCCTGTTTATGTGCTCGGGTGGATGAGTGAACACGGATGGTTCCAATTTGCAAGTCACGGCCACCCTCACCCTTCACGCCGTAGCTCGTGCGAGCGGTAGGATTGCCGTACTTCATGCAGACACTGCATTTCAGCGAAGGTCTCCCGTTGGTCTGACGATGTAGCCGTAAC